TTTCATACAAAAGCTTTTCTCACAATGAAAATAACAAAAACGCAATAACACGTGATCATTTTGCACTTTTTTCAAAATGTATGTATTGAGCGATGCGAAGAAGAAAATGACGGATTGCTACAATGCAGGGCTTAATGTGGGGCGGGGTCACTGACGAGGAGGCCAAAACCTCCGAAACACCAGTGTATGGCCGTGGCGTATCAACCTCGTTTGGGCTTTAAGCATTCTTTTTTCGGAATCATTTTGAATATTCATTGCGAGGTTATGATACAGTCGATGTTATGGATCGAATGACAGATTGTCATATTCCTCTCAAGGTATAAACGGTGGGTGCAATGATATTCCTCTCAAGGCATAAACTGGGTGCGCAATAATATTCCTTTCAAGGTGTAAACTGGGTCAGTTATAATATTCCTCTCAAGGTATAAACTGGGTCTGCAATATATTCCTCTGAAGGTACTAAATGGGTGTGTAATAATATTCCACTCAAGGATTGCAGGCGCATCCATCAGGGATTAAGCAAGCAGAGAGCTCTATCCTTTATCCTTTATGATGACACTATCCTTCAACAGACTATTTTGAAATCTGCTTATGAATTTAATATAGTCTGATCGAATGTCTTAAGATTTTCAGAGGTGTGTAGGAGGGATCTTGAGTACTAAAAGTGTGTTTCAGCGTTCCCACCCATCTTATCAATAGCACATGCCTTTGCGTTCACTCCCACATTTGATATGGTCATCGCAGAGATTGCAACACTCTTTCGAAGCATGTAGAATATGTAGTAATACCTTTAAATCAACTATTTTGAGACCTGGCTTAAATTCAACATATCCTTATAGTATATTTTAGGGCTTTCATGAGGTCTGTTGCGGCACTTACAGAGTGGTAGACGTGTTTCGGCCTCTCAGCCTAATCAGTAGTGCGGTGCCTTTTGGTTTGCTCAATTCCAAAGAGACATGCCTCTATATAGAGGAATCGACGCTGAACTGCTTACAAATAACGTACCGCCTGTATCACCTGTCGTCCCGTTGATCGTCGAGTGACTCGAGAGGGTATCAGCAACACTTCGGTTATTTCCTATCAAGCGCAAGAGTAGCGCAGTGGGTCCTCCTCGCTCTAGGGATTCGCTGAGCATCATATCTTTCTTCTATAGCTCTCGTGAAGAAATCGGACCAACGGGTCGGTGGTCTTCCTGTAGAGCGCTTGGTACCCCGAGGAATCCAGTCGGTAACGGCTCTCGTCCATCGGTTGTCGTTGCAGCGCATCTCGTGTCCGACCCACCTTATTTTCGATATCCTGGCGTGTAGAAACGGGTCTCTGATTTTCGATCGTTGACATAGGTCGCAACTTCGTATCCTTTCTCTCATTTGCGACGTACAGGATACTCCTAATATCGACCTTTCGACTGCGCGTTCGATAACGCCAAGTGTTCTCTCATCCTGCTTACGTAGCGACCATGTTTCTGATGAATACGTTAGAGCAGGATTAATCGTTGAGGCGAAAAGATGGGCACGGAGTCGGATGTTCTTAGTCCTCTTCACTACATCTTCGATGCTCTTAAACGTCCCCAAGCCGCTCGTTTCCTCCTGCTCAACTCTGGAGCTAGGTCGTTCATCATGTTCATTTCACGACCTAGATAGACGCAACTGGAGCATTCGGAGATTGCCTTTCCGTTAAGCGTGAATGGGGCATTCAAAAGCCAACCGTTCTTCATGAACATCGTTTTCGTTAGATTTAGTTGAAGACCAATCTTTCCAGAGCTCAACTCTGGAGCTAGGTCGTTCATCATGTTCATTTCACGACCTAGATAGACGCAACTGGAGCATTCGGAGATTGCCTTTCCGTTAAGCGTGAATGGGGCATTCAAAAGCCAACCGTTCTTCATGAACATCGTTTTCGTTAGATTTAGTTGAAGACCAATCTTTCCAGAGGCGTTACCGAAATCGGTCAACACTCGTTCCGCTTGACTGAGGTTTGGTGTTATGAGAAACGATATCGCCAGCAGAGTGAAGATGGTTTAATTGTCAACCGTCAAATTTCACACCCATTTCGTCCCATTCTAATTGTAGCATGACGTTTTCTAGGGTGGCAGTGAATAGTTTTGGCGAAATTGTATCGCCTTGTCGAACCCCTCTTCTTACGTCAGTGGTAATACTGTTGTAGAATGGAGACATTTCGGTAGTGAAATCATTATAAAGCTCACGAAGGATCATTATGTACCGAGTAGGGACGCCCTGGTTATCCAGAGCCTCTATAACCACTTCTGCTACCACTGAATCAAAGGCTTTCTTCAGATCGATGAAAGTGAGACAGAGCGATAATTTGTACTCTTCTGAAACTTCAATGAGTCTTGTAATCGTGTGGATGTGATCCATGGTACTAAATACTTCTTGGAACCCTGCTTGTTCGCATGGCTGTCCTTCGTCCAGGGTTCTGTCAGTCCTGTTGAGGACGACTCGAGCAAAGAGTTTATATAAAACGGACAGCAAGCAGATTGGGCCTATGTCGTTAAGGTTTCCCTTTCTGAACAAAAATACGATTTGCTGGTTTTTCATTGAATGGGGACCATGCATTCTGACAAGTAGCGAGTGAAGAGCCGAGCCAGGGAGTAGATGAGAAGTGGCGGCAGGATCTTCAGGTGTTCTGGTTCTAATCCTGTCTGTAACGGGTGCTGTTCTGTTCTTCACCGACCATATAGCATGTCGGATATCGGATGGGAGGACCACTGGAGCGACATATTCATCCTCATTCAATTTATACGACGGTAAGTGGACCTGGCTAGCGAAGAGATGAGAGTGGTAGTGGTGGATGATTTTCTTCATAGCTCTTCTGGAAGCTGCAAGTGTCCCGTCAGGGTATCGGAGTTCAATCATCTTGGTCTTATAATTGGCGAAGCCTCGCGGAGTTTTACGAATGCTCTTTCTAGCTTCTGCAGCTTCTGCCATATCTGCTGCTCGTCTCTCTTTGAGGTCTTCTCTAATCGCTTCTCTGCAGCGTTTCGCAAGTTTGGACGTGAGATTTCGGTAGCCTGTAGCTTGTGCGATTCCACGTTGACGTATTACTCGAGTGTCTGCCGAGACTAGCGTCTCTTCGTGACCTCAGGACTCTCGACTTTCATAGCGCTAATGTGAAGATATTCAACGAGCCAATCGTAGTCTTCGTCGATGTTGTCGACAACGCTATCTTCCCAAGTGCCGACTAATGATTTGAATACATCCCAGTTATGGTAGTTTTGGAACTTCGTTGTTTGAATTTAGCGGCTTTCTCTGCTCTCCGCGGAAACGAAATGTTGCGCGAAGGAGCCGATGGTCCGATCCCGTGAAGAACTTAGGAACAACAGCGACATCGGTCAGGCAAAGCCTTCGATCTGCTAATATGTGGTGTATTTCGTTTGGTACTCTCCATTGGGAGACTCCCACGTCCATCGCTGAGAGTGAGGCTTTTGAAATTGTAAGTTACCATGGATGGTTTGGGTCGTCATGATAAACTCGGATAGCCTCTCACCCTGCTCATTCAATCTAGCATGTGGGTACCAATGTGACGTTCTTCAGACGTTCTCCTAGGTCCAATTTTTGCATTAAAATCTTCGATAACGACCTTGAAGAATGTATGATCTTCTCTGAAGAATTTTTCGAGGTCCATATAGGACGCTTCGACTTAGTCCTCGTCATTGCTTGATGTTGGTGCGTAGGCAACGAAGATGGTCAAAGCCGGTATAGAACCACATCGTTACCGTAATCGTCTGATACGGGTTGTTAGTTGTTCAAACGAATCGATGTTCACGGTCACATTCGTTTTGACGACGGACGCCAACGCCGCCGACACCTCTGCTATCGCATGTTCCAAAGAACAGTTCTTCTCCGGTGTCATAAACAGCGTGAAAAGGATGGCGCCTTCTCGTTTCAGCCAGGCCAATGACGTCGTACCTTATTCTTCTTGCTTGAATCAATAGATCTTCTGCAGCGCACTAGTTGAGCAAGGTTTCTTGCATTGTAGGTACAATCGTCATTTTAGTCCGTTTCGACCTTGGCAGCCTAGTTCGGCCCTGAGATTTTCACCCTCTGTACTCGTCCTACCTGGTGCTGCCGTACCAGGGGCTCTTTCGGGGTCAGGGAAATGAGGCCCATATTTGTTACTGTTTTTGGCATTTTGATACCCAGCGTATAGCTTGCCAGGCTCTAAACGTGGGGACTGGGTACTCACGAGTAGCTTGCCACTCTCCCTCGGAGGAGCGGGAGGAGCTTATTGTGTGGAGGCGACTCCTAACCGCCTCCCATGTACTTCCCTGCCGCTTGATTGCAGGCCCTTGGCCAACTTGACTCGTAGAAATAGAGTTTTGTCAAGTCGGCGCTGCAGAAGCAGGGAGCTCATCCCCTGAATCCACCTGCGTCTCTGGGAAGCACGCTGTTGCTTTTGTGTTCTCGTTTATTCCCCATCCACCACCTGTGGATGCGCCACGTGCCCTCGCGACTAACCGGGTGGGTTACCTCAAAGAGGGAGGCATTTTGGATAAACGCCGAAAACCCCGAAATGAACCGGAAGGACGAATGCGTCACCATCACACAAGATCTCGCGCCCTTCTTCGTCTGATCTTTTAACCTGACCTAGGCAGCATATAAATAAGGTCCTCGGAATCATTTAAATAGACTAATACTACATAGGCCCAGGCTCTGAAGAAGGAGGGTCGCCGAAACGTCGGCCAAATCACTACAAGTAGTTTACCAACTTCACGTCACCTAGACAAGATAAGTTTTCTCGATATTCACGAAATCATACCTTGAATTTGGCTAACTTTCCGAAAGTATTTTTTCAGACAGTCACCAGACCCCGAGAATAGGGCCTCATTGGCTCAGGGGCAGAGCGTCTGTCTAGTAAACAGAAGGTCGCTGGTTCGATTCCAGCATGAGGCACCTGTTTTGCGTTATTGCTCATGAAATCGTGCTTTATCTAAACGAGTACGAAAATAAGCCCCTACACTGACATAAAAGCCTCAAAGGCGTGCCACATTATCTCAGGGGCAAGAGCGTCTGTCTTGTAGACAGAAGGTCGCTGGTTCGATTCCAGTATGTGGCATCCGTTTTGCGTTGGTGTTCAAGAAATCGTGCTTTATTTGAACGAGTTACGAACATAAGCCCCTACACCGACATAAAAGCCTGAAAGGCGTGCCTCATGCTCAGGGGCAGAGCGTCTGTCTTGTAAACAGAAGGTCGCTGGTTCGATTCCAGCATGTGGCATCCGTTTTGCGTTGGTGTTCATGAAATCGTACTTTATTTGAACGAGTCTGAACATAAGCCCCACACCGACATAAAGCCTAAAATGCGATGCCTCATTGGCTCAGGGGCAGAGCGTCTGTCTTGTAAACAGAAGGTCGCTGGTTCGATTCCAGCATGTGGCATCCGTTTTGCGTTGGTGTTTCAAGAAATCGTGCTTTATTTGAACGAGTACGAAACATAAGCCCCTACACTGACATAAAAGCCTAAAGGGATGCCTCATTGGCTCAGGGGCAGAGCGTCTGTCTAGTAAACAGAAGGTCGCTGGTTCGATTCCAGCATGTGGCATCCGTTTTGCTGTTGTTGTCAAGAAATCGTGCTTTATTTGAACGAGTACGAACATAAGCCCTCCACATGACATAGAAGCCTGAAAGGCGTGCCTCATTGGCTCAGGGCAGAGCGTCTGTCTTGTAACAGAAGTGTCTCTGGTTCGATTCCAGCATGAGGCATTCTGTTTTGCGTTATGCGCTCAAGAAATCGTACTTTATTTTGAACGAGTTACTGAACATAAGCCCGCACACGACATAAAAGCCTAAAAGCGTGCCTCATTGGCTCAGGGGCAGAGCGTCTGTCTAGTAACACAGAAGGTCGCTGGTTCGATTCCAGCATGAGGCATCTGTTTTGCGTTATTGCTCATGAAATCGTACTTTATTTTGAACGAGTCTGAACATAAGCCCGCACACGGACATAAAAGCCTTAAAAGGCGTGCCTCATTGGCTCAGGGGCAGAGCGTCTGTCTTGTAAACAGAAGGTCTCTGGTTCGATTCCAGCATGAGGCATCTGTTTTGCGTTATTGCTCATGAAATCGTACTTTATTTTGAACGAGTTTGAACATAAGCCCGCACCATCGACATAAAGCCTAAAATGCGTGCCTCATTGGCTCAGGGGCAGAGCGTCTGTCTTGTAAACAGAAGGTCGCTGGTTCGATTCCAGCATGAGGCATCTGTTTTGCGTATTGCTCATGAAATCGTACGTTTATGCGTTTGGTTACACAGAAATCGTGCTTTATTTGACGAGTACGAACATAAGCCCCTACACTGACATAAAAGCCTAAAAGGCGGTGCCTCATTGGCTCAGGGGCAGAGCGTCTGTCTAGTAAACAGAAGGTCGCTGGTTCGATTCCAGCATGAGGCATCTGTTTTGCGTTATTGCTCATGAAATCGTGCTTTATTTTGAACGAGTCTGAACATAAGCCCTCACACCGACATAGAAGCCTAAAATGCGTGCCTCATTGGCTCAGGGGCAGAGCGTCTGTCTTGTAAACAGAAGGTCGCTGGTTCGATTCCAGCATGTGGCATCTGTTTTGCGTTATTGCTCATGAAATCGTACTTTATTTTGAACGAGTCTGAACATAAGCCCCTACACTGACATAAAAGCCTGAAAATCGTGCCTCATTGGCTCAGGGGCAGAGCGTCTGTCTTGTAAACAGAAGGTCGCTGGTTCGATTCCAGCATGTGGCATCCGTTTTGTGTTGGTGTTCAAGAAATCGTGCTTTATTTGAGCGAGTACGAACATAACCCCTACACTGACATAAAAGCCTGAAAGCGTGCCTCATTGGCTCAGGGGCAGAGCGTCTGTCTATGTAAACAGAAGGTCGCTGGTTCGATTCCAGCATGAGGCATCTGTTTTGCGTTATTGCTCATGAAATCGTACTTTATTTTGAACGAGTACGAACATAAGCCCCTACACTGACATAAAGCCTAAAATCGTGCCTCATTGGCTCAGGGGCAGAGCGTCTGTCTTGTAAACAGAAGGTCGCTGGTTCGATTCCAGCATGAGGCATCTGTTTTGCGTTATTGCTCATGAAATCGTACTTTATTTGAACGAGTTTGAACATAAGCCCTCACACCGACATAAAAGCCTAAAATGCGTGCCTCATTGGCTCAGGGGCAGAGCGTCTGTCTTGTAAACAGAAGGTCGCTGGTTCGATTCCAGCATGTGGCATCCGTTTTGCGTTGGTGTTCAAGAAATCGTGCTTTATTTGACGAGTACGAACATAAGCCCCTACCACTGACATGAAAGCCTAAAATGGGTGCCTCATTGGCTCAGGGGCAGAGCGTCTGTCTTGTAAACAGAAGGTCGCTGGTTCGATTCCAGCATGTGGCATCCGTTTTGCGTTGGTGTTCAAGAAATCGTGCTTTATTTGAACGAGTACGAACATAAGCCCCTACACTGACATGAAAGCCTAAAGGCGTGCCTCATTGGCTCAGGGGCAGAGCGTCTGTCTTGTAAACAGAAGGTCGCTGGTTCGATTCCAGCATGTGGCATCCGTTTTGCGTTGGTGTTCAAGAAATCGTGCTTTATTTGAACGAGTACGAACATAAGCCCCTACACTGACATAAAGCCTGAAAGGCGTGCCTCATTGGCTCAGGGGCAGAGCGTCTGTCTAGTAAACAGAAGGTCGCTGGTTCGATTCCAGCATGAGGCATCTGTTTTGCGTTATTGCTCATGAAATCGTACTTTATTTTGAACGAGCTTGAACATAAGCCCTCACACCGACATAAAAAAAAGGATAAAGCTCTCGGCGTTGATCAATCCCTGAGGGATGCGCCATGCATTCGACTTCAATTTCTGACTTCGTTTGAGGTGATTGAATGCACATCTGGCCTTTACAATGACTCGCGGTGGCCTCCCGCTGAACCGAGTCAGTGCTGCTTATCCTCCCAGACAAGTCTAAGACCTGTCTGGTACCAATTTACCGACCCCGGAGGGATGGATGGCTTGGTGAGCCATGATCGCGAGATCGAACCAGTGACCTCGTTGTGCGACGCAGGGCACCTCTAACCACTGCGCCACATGCGCTCTACATTTCCATTACATGCGGTTTAATTACCCAAGTTTGAGCTATGCCGACCACAAAGATTCACGCTCGCCAGATCTACGATTCTCGTGGTAATCCGACCGTTGAGGTAGATCTATATACCGATAAAGGTGTTTTTCGCGCTGCCGTTCCATCAGGAGCTTCAACTGGGGTGCGTGAAGCCCTCGAGCTTCGTGATAAAGACAAAGCCGTTCACCATGGAAAGGGAGTTTTGAAAGCTGTGGCCAACATTAATGACAAGATCGCTCCAGCCCTTATTGCCAAGAACTTTTGCGTAACTCAACAACGAGATATCGATCAATTCATGTTGGCACTGGATGGAACTGAGAACAAGTCGAATCTTGGTGCTAATGCTATCTTGGGTGTTCTCACTGGCTGTTGCGAAAGCTGGTGCTGTTCACAAGGGCATGCCACTCTACAAGTATATCGCCGAACTCGCTGGTGTTAGCAAGGTCATTCTGCCCGTACCCGCCTTCAATGTAATTAATGGTGGTTCGCATGCTGGAAACAAACTTGCAATGCAGGAGTTCATGATTTTACCTATTGGCGCGTCCAGTTTTTCCGAAGCCATGCGAATGGGATCTGAAGTCTATCATCACCTGAAATCAGAAATCAAGAAGAGATATGGTCTTGACGCTACAGCAGTTGGTGATGAGGGAGGATTTGCTCCAAATATTCAAGACAACAAGGAAGGTTTGGATCTTTTGAAGACTGCTATTCAACTTGCTGGATACACTGGAAAGATTTCAATAGGTATGGATGTGGCGGCATCCGAGTTTTTCAAGGAGGGAAGTATGATCTTGACTTCAAAAATCCAAATTCCGATCCCAGCAAATGGTTGACTGGAGAAAAACCAGCTGAACTCTACCAAACCTTCATCAAGGAATATCCGGTTGTGTCGATAGAGGACGCTTTTGATCAAGATGACTGGGATAACTGGGGCAAATTCAAGGCTGCGACCAATATCCAACTTGTGGGGGACGATCTCACTGTGACGAATCCGAAACGTATTCGTCAGGCCATTGAAAAAAAGAGTTGCAATTGTTTACTGTTGAAGGTAAACCAGATTGGTACCGTTACCGAGTCAATCGAAGCGGCTAAATTATCGCGCTCAAATGGTTGGGGTGTTATGGTATCCCATAGATCAGGAGAAACTGAGGATACTTTCATTGCCGATCTCGTTGTTGGCCTTGCCACCGGACAGATCAAAACTGGTGCTCCGTGCCGTTCCGAACGTCTAGCCAAATATAACCAATTGCTCCGTATCGAAGAAGAGCTCGGGAAAGATGCAGTTTATGCAGGAGCGGACTTCCGTAACCCCAAGGTCTAGAACGTTTTGTACAGGATCGGCGAAAATTATTTCTAGCCTTTTGTGTTTGCTAGTAGAAAGCTTAGATAGTAGTGTATAACTAACATCAGTTAGTAATTAATAGCCGATTGTCACACCGACATAAAAGCCTAAAATGCGTGCCTCATTGGCTCAGGGGCAAAGCGTCTGTCTTGTAAACAGAAGGTCGCTGGTTCGATTCCAGCATGTGGCATCCGTTTTGCGTTGGTGTTCAAGAAATCGTGCTTTATTTGAACGAGTACGAACATAAACCCCTACACTGACATAAAAGCCTGAAAACCGTGCCTCATTGGCTCAGGGGCAGAGCGTCTGTCTTGTAAACAGAAGGTCGCTGGTTCGATTCCAGCATGTGGCATCCGTTTTGTGTTGGTGTTCAAGAAATCGTGCTTTATTTGAACGAGTACGAACATAAGCCCCTACACTGACATGAAAGCCTAAAAGGGGTGCCTCATTGGCTCAGGGGCAGAGCGTCTGTCTTGTAAACAGAAGGTCGCTGGTTCGATTCCAGCATGAGGCATCTGTTTTGCGTTATTGTTCATGAAATCGTGCTTTATTTGAACGAGTACGAACATAAGCCCCTACACTGACATAAAAGCCTGAAAGCGTGCCTCATTGGCTCAGGGGCAGAGCGTCT